AGCTGCAGATGAACAGGAGGAGGAGAAATGCCCTCATATTTAAAAATTATCAAGATGCCAAGTAGGCCGGCTGCTTAGCGTAGTAGAAACAGAGAAGAGTTCAGGGGTGGATAGTTTTCCAAAAAGTCCGGCTATTATTTTTGATTTAAGAAGCACTACGGAGGTTCTCCTTGATGTCCAATCCAATATTGAAGTTAGCATTTTTTTCGTGGGACACCGGAGCTAGCGATGCAGAAGACTCTTGATGGCGGCAATTAATTCTTAAAGATTAGGATGGTCGAAGCAGATGGAAACTATTCATGGAGGAGAGACTGAAATTTCTTCTTAACGGCACTAGAACTAGGCATCACTAGCGATGCAGAAGACTCTTGATGGCGGCAATTAATTCTTAAAGATTTGGATTATCGATGTAGATGATACTCTATTCATGGAGGAGAGACTGAAATTTCTTCTTAACGGCACTAGAGCTAGGCATCACTCTTCTTTGCATTTTCCTATTTTAATTATCTTTGAGTAACTTACATATTAAGGCACGGCAATGAGGAGCCTATAATTTAGTCGAGGTCATAATTCGTGCAACTAAGTCCCTCGTTCAAAACTCCAGGGCAAGAGGCCCGTAGATCCAAAGGCGGAAAAATTCATTTTCCGAGATGAAATTCTGCTGCCAACGAGACAGCGTCAGATGGTAAGTAGAAAGTGCAAAAAAGTGTAAAAAGTGAGCTCGTCCCCTAAAACAACCCGTTAAAAGGGAGAGCGCCGGACTACCAAGTTGGCGCAACCCATTTTTCGCCGAAAATTGAAATAGTTGCAACCACAGCATACCCTCATGTTATCAAAACTCGCCAAAACCACTATTTTGAAACCTCAACGAAAAATTCTATGTCGCCAAACCCTCGCCAAAATAACCACCACCTTGTGGACCGGGGAAATTAGGAATTTCAACAACCCTGCAAGGGTCCCAACGAAAGAATTCTGAGAACTCGCAAAAAGTGACTTTTCAACCGGAAAGAAGGCATTTCATCCCCCTTTAACTAAATCACAAGCGAAACGAAGAAAATCTACTAATTAAAGCTCATAACTGAAATGCAATTAAAGTTAGAAAAATGAAAGTTATGCCAAATTAAAGAGCTAATTTTTCTGCAACTAATGATATTAAATACTAAGAAATCAAATTAATTTTTGACATGAAAAACTGAGTTTATTACGCAGGAAAAATACTTATCCATTGTTTGCGTGTACAAGAATGAAGACGCAGTTCGCGTAAACTCGGAAAGCCAAAATACTCGTATATTACACTAGAATTAATAGGCCCAGAAAGAATATAACCAACTTGTGTAGCTCAAATTTTGAATAATTACAAATTAAAATTTTGATTTTTATGAATCACTTAATTAAATTAAATTCGCTACACAACACTACTTTTTGAAAAGCTAAATTAAAGGTTACAATCTTATTTAGACACTTAAATGAAAAATACGTGTAAACAAATACGTGATCTTCAATATTTTTTCCTTGAGTTTACATTGCACATGTTTCTTTCTATTAGCAATTTCTATATTTTCCATAAAGGTGGAAATGTTGAGTTTATGCTACATTGGTTTCTTTTTATTAGCAGTTATGAAACTGTCGACATTTCCCATGAGTATTATTTCGTTTAACCACGATAATAATCTAGTTTTTGAAGTTTAGATTTTTTTTAAAAGAACGTAAAAATGTAAACATTAAGTTTAAACAGCTATTTTCAATTATTAAACAGTATAAATGTTCAGATCTTATTTTAAAGCATAGATTCATGTTTCATTTTTTATTTCCTATTGTTTTATTTGCATCTGGCATATGTTTCATTACTTAAATTTGACTTACTGAACGGCAACGCGTTTATCGTTTGAAAGTTGTTTACGTTCATTTCGCGATATCGCTGTTGTTAGGCCCGAAACCATTACCAATATGAAAAAACAGCCGGTCCTGCACTCTACTTCTGCATTATCATTTCCAATCTGTTATAAATAGGTTTTTATTCTTCACTTTCGACAAAGTTTATTAGCATATGACGGCACGGAAACCGGCGATCGCTGCAACGCCATCTGTTGATGACTTTGTCAAATGCTTGTTATGAGTATTATTTGGTTTAACCTCGATAATAATGCAGCTTTCTAAAGTTTTAGATTTTTTCCGTTGTATATGGCTAATGATCTACCTTGATGCCAAATATAATCCATTTAAAAGTGATCTAGTTTTTCATCGGTAAGTCAGTGCGCAATAAAAATGGCACTTTTCAGACCTTAATAATTCCATAACTATAGATAGATTAATGAAATTTGGCTTTCTGAGTGTTCAGTGGACCTCTATTAGACAAAAAATTTTGCAAGTTTTTAGGTCTAATAGGTTTTGAGTAATGGGAGGTCGAAAGTAGCTCGGAATGATTTGTATAAGGTACACATGGCCGGTGTCTCGATGTTTTCTTTTCCATGTGTTCCGAATTTGGCTGACACACTTCTGTGTGTCTAAATATGGCACAAAGGCTATCTTCATATAGGGAGGTTTGCATTCTTGGAGAACTTTCTAGAAGAAACGCTCGTATTCACATTACACATTGGGAAAACAAACTATGCAGCAAGCTCGTTCGCCTGGAATTCGAATCAGGGGCCTTAACCACTCGGTCACTCACAAGCAATGGAGATGATTTTATATAGTTTGTTCTTTGTTTTCAGAAGTCCAGAGAACTGCAGTTTAATTCTGTGTTTCGGATTTTGGAATATTATTTCCTTTGGGTTTTTGCTGAAATTCTAATGGACTATATCATAAAAACTGCTCATATATACATATATGTGTGTGTGTGGTTGTAAATAGCAGAAAATTAAAGCGAGTAAAAAAATCAGAAATTCGTAGATTTATTCGAAACTTTTAGGAAAAATTGATATTCCCAAAATCTTATAAAATTCAGTAACACTTTGGAAAAAAATCGGGGAAATTAGAGACATCATGAAGTTACTGCTGTAGTTTGGTAACGCTTGTGAGCTTTGTCATAAAAAATAGACTAACCGAAGGACTTTACATGGAGTACAGTTGGTAGTGATATGAAAAGTTGGTAGTCTGTTGAAACGGATATCTGAGGAATACGTCGGATGTGAGGGAGCTTCCCACTTAAGCTGGTGAATAACAGCTTTCGTCATGTTTGCCGCATGTGCTGTCGGGTTATTTATGTGAATGACGATGCCATTTCCTTGATATTTTATCTTAAAGTTCTAGGTGAACGCCATGTAGTTGTTTAAAGCAGATAAACTGACGAGTGATTTGTTGTGGATAAATAAATATCAATCAAATTATTAAAACGCTTCGTATCGAAATGTGATGAGCGACCCGAATGTCATCGCTCAGTTCTATTTCGTACGAATAATTTCGCACTTCAGTCCTATATCAGCAACAGCATATTTCCCAGGCACAGTACCAATTTGTTTAGAAGCCTCAGCAGCAGTGGAAACTTTATTGAACTCATGTAAAGAAAACGTCGGGTGTACGTTTTTTTTAACTTGACACTCCAAACTCTGACGAAAAAAAACGCAAATTTGCCATTCATATTGATATGCATACAAGATAAATTTAGCTACACTGTATTATTACCAGCAGTGATATCTAGATAAAACATTTTGGAACAAAACATTAATAAGTAAAGAATAAAAAATAGCCGCAAAAATAATATATATGATAATTTATTAATAAATGTACTCATTCGACAATATTGATATAAGCTGAAATTTTCATTTCGTTAATTTATATGCGTTGTTGAAACCGATACACTGTCAAAAGCATAAAATTTTTCCAGACGCGTACAAGGATTATTTATCTTTTAAAATCACATGAGTCGTGGCATGATGATTGTTGTTGACTTCGAGAATCGTTTATTTCCGAAGAAGGGATCAATTCCAAAGCAATGACTCTACTCACGCACATTCAAAACAGCGCTTAGCTTCTTAACCACGCCTCCGTTGGCATTAGATGTAGGTATCCCGGGAACATTAATGCTCCACGTGAGCTTCGATTTTTCTAGCAAAATATACATCTCGAAACTATTACGGTAGACTCAGGCTTCATTAGTCTTTTTTCCAAGTGCGATATCTGGGTGCATGACATCTTCGCAGCTCGGGCTGAATGCATTAAGCGAACTGCTGCCTGGCAATCCCACACCCTGTCTTCTGCCAGAAGGGAGGGCGAAGTCGATTAAGTCAGGTTTGTATGCTAAAAAGAAATTACCGTGTAAAAATGAAGCCCGCACGCGAGACGGCATAATACTGAGAGTTATTCTTAGACAGCAGGAAAGAACACGAGCATTTTGAGAAGCCCAAGTAAGGAAAAGTAGGAAACAAAACCCTGAGTAATAAGTACTTAGATTTCTAACTCCTTTTACAATGAGAGAGAGATAGTCGTAGCGTACATATTGGGCCACGTGACGGCTGGTTTTGACAGCAGTCTGTTTTTATGTGCATACGGAAGTGTAAAAATTCAAAACTTGACTTACGAAGAAAGAGACATATTTATACTGCCATTATTCGGCCTATCTTTTCTTATGCGTCTCCGCCTGGGACTTGATTCGAAAAAATGAAATCAAGAATTACAGCACACAAAACAATTTTTAAGACAATCACGAACGCTCATTTTGTGTTTCCAATGAAACCTACATAGAGATTTAAAAATAGAATATCGAGAATTTCCTCCATGCAAATCGGAAAATTTTTGATAAGGCGAGAAACTGCTCGTACATGAAATCTTTAAAGTTTCGACTATACCGTGTTCCTGAAGATATCAAAATCAGACCATAGCGGCCTTCCTCACCAGGGACACTAATTTTCCTACTTTCAGTCTTTTCTGCAAATCATTTTTCTGTATATATGTACATAAATTTTCGTATTACAACTCGAACTTTGTATTTGTATTGTATATGCTATTTATTGTATTCATTTTATGTAATAATTGTATTTGCTAATATCTCATTTTTTCCTTAGCATACCTATCATGAACATCTTGAACTGACACTCCACACCTGTGCCTCTCTGGTCTTGGGCTTTAAGTTCGATTCTCTGCTTGTGGCGTCCTTGGTCACCCCCTTTATTTCATTTCCTATTGCCTCCTATCATTCGTCCAGACCACTTATGTCTGTGCCTTCGGGCTTACTTGTCATGAGCCGGACAAGTTGCATCAAATGCAATATTTCGGCATAAATTGTAATGAATGAATGAATGAATACGGAAGTGAAGGAAATGTGCATGTGTGACCAAGACCTGAAATTTTGACGATACCTAAAATTTTAGATTGTTTCAGTCTCCTTCTTAACATTGCGAAATTCTTAAAATTGATGAAACAAAAGTTAAAAAAAATATCAGCTAATTACCTTCTATTTTATAAATTTTATGCAATGATCTCTAGCTGCAAAAGGACTTTTAATAGCAGTTGTGTGCAAGAACATAATAGGTGCAAATGTGTATAGCTTTAAAAATAATAGAAAGCAACAAACATATCCGTGTTAGCAATGCAATTATATTAGAAACATTAGCAAATATTAATCTTAGAAATAAAATATTAATATTCGGACAATTTTATGATTTAATTTTTATCTTCCTTTAGTGAAACAGAATCATTAGTAACTTTTCCAAAATCCAGTTGATTACTTAATGTTTTCAGTTGCTAGGATAACCATGTGGGACATTTTGCGTTGTCGAAATAAAAAAAAAGTAGTTTTATTAATGTTACTAGTTATGATAGAGTCACTTGAATAGTTGGCAGTGTTAAAATATTCTTAGTAGGGTTTCCAGATTTGGATCGAAAAATATTAAATTACATTATTAATTAAAAAAAATATTTCTGATGCAATTTTTGCAGTATAAAAAGTTAAACTTGTGAAAATATATTTATTAAATCTCTCTGTGTTTGAAAAGAGTTTTGACTAATATTTGATTATGCCAAAACACACTGGGCTGTCTGTCTATAATAAGAGGAAGCCCTTTATGGAAGAACTTTCAAAGGGAGGCTTAATCTGCATTTATGTTGGGCATGAAAAAACCACTAAACACTCGCTTAACCCTCTTATTCTACTTATGGGAGTAGAATTTCGACCGTTTAATTTTGTTTAATTTATTTTGTTGCTACAAAGTATTTGATGGTTATTCACCTAAGTGGAGGGATGCCTTCCTGGTGGGCGTTCCAGGAATAGTTGCCTCATATTAACGTTACATATGGGATAAATTACGAAAGCACCCATTCGTGTTCGTCTGGGATCGAACCCAGATTCTACTTACTAGAATTCAGCGACTTTGGCTATTGGCCGCTGATGGACCAGAATTCTCGACGAGTTGCTCCATCGCTGACCGAGTGATTAAAAATTGCTGAATACTGGTAGTTCGACATGAATTTCAATTATGAGAAACGACATAGTTGGTTATCATGGTTTTCCCCATCTGTAATGTGACTACAAGTTAGTTTCTCTTAAAATGACCTCTTGGAAGATAACTTCCCTAGGCAGACAACCCTCGTCTTCTGTACCATATATAAATAATTTAATAAAATAGCGACGAACTACTAGCTTCTAAATAAAATGCTGCTCAAATATTTTACATATACATCCATTAAACTATTCTAGAGTTGCATGAACGGAGTCTCTAATAGGGTGTCGATTACGGGGCTTATGATTGAGCTAATTTGTAAACTTCCAGCGATGAAATTAAGAAGAACATTTAAAGCAGAATGGAGCAAAGCAGGTGTTTCAGTCCCCCATAATCTGTCCGAAGAGAACAAAGCCAACCGATCCATCACATGCAACGTATTGCTTCAACAGCACCATACAGAACCGTTTTTTGATTATTTGATTACTGGATACGAAAAATGGGTCCTATATGATAATCCAAAACGCAAAAGGTTTTTAATAGGGGTTACCAAAGGTTTACATCCCCAAAGGCGCTTCTGTGTGTTTGGGGAGTATTCGCGGAATTGTTCATTTTGAATTGCTGAAACGTGGGACAAACTGTTAATACAGATCTTTATTGTGAACAACTGGATCGAGAACAATCTTAATCGAAAAAAATATCCGGAATTGTCAATAGAAAATGCATCATTCTGCAACACGACAATGCAGACCGCACTGTGCAACGACGGGGGACACTTAAAAATGAATGAATTGGATGGGAGGTGCTGCATCCCCATCTTCGCCCGATATCGTACACTCGGATTTCCATTTATTCCGATCCCCACAACATTTTCTTAGTGCCAAAAAAATTTGAAAATTTTAATGATGTCCAAAATGCCATCTTGAGATATTTTACTCAAAAACCAGTTGACTTATATCGGTCTGGGGATTCAAAATCTGTACACTAGATGGCAAAAGGTTGTTGATAACGAGGGGGATTACATTATTGATTAAAAATAAAAACGTGTTAAAATGTATTCGTGTGAATTTAATGTAAGAAAGCGACATTACTTTCCGGTCCCCCTATTAGAACAATTAAAAACGACAAGTATGGTAAAAATGAAAATTATAGATTAGAATCACATCTTTTATACAATTAAAAATACAATGGCCAATTTAAATGGCAAACGTAGAAAAAAAACATAAAAAAGTTTCCAATTTTGGCTAAATATGCCTTAAAAACTATACTTTTAGTCGACAAAAGTATAGTAAACACTTTTTACCGACACTCTAAAAGCGTAAAACGGAGGGTAGTATTCCTAAAAATTTTATATTATACAAAAATAAAAAGAATAATAAGATTTTCTTGGATGAATTAAAAGGATGTAATACTCAGGAACGGGATTGACAAAATGGCGCAGCTATTTTAGCATTAAAAAAGATAGCGTGGTATTGAAGGTGCAAAATCACCATTTCTTGTTTTGATCATTCCTTAAAGTGACCAAAGGTAGAAATAAGTGTCCTTGACAATGCATGTCGAAAATTAACATAGGCGAGAAATTTAGCAGAAAAATAGGAGGTAGAATTCTCAGAAACAAGTTTATTGTGCGAGGGTTAATAAAACAATACAGAAGGGTTAATAAAACAATTAAAAACGACAAATATTGTAAAAATTAAAATTACAGATTAGAATCATATCTTTTACTCAATTAAATATACAATGGCTAGTTTGGGTTGTCCAAAGTCACAAAGAGAGGAAACTTTGGGAAGTACCTCAATATGACAAATGAACAATTAAGGCTTTTTTGCTTTACATCAGTCCATTTAAAATACAGAGTGATGGCATAGCTGCTTATTAGTATATTATATCCCTTGTCTTCGAGACATTAAGCCCTTTCGTTAGCTTTTACTCGCAAACGTAAATCGCGAGTCTTACTAAATTGCCTATTTACCAGTCTCTCAACAGAGTGAAAATTCAGAAAATTTCTTAATTTTTTAAGACAGTCGTTCCTTCCTGCATAAGGAAATCTGCATTCAGACTTTCCTGGAATCAACTCTAGAGCTGCTGAACAATTACAGTTTTAGAAAATGTCGGCACTCATAAAAACGTACTGAGAAGCAATTACTGTTGCTGGCATGAACTTGAAGGACAGACTTAGAATCCGAGATGACATCTTTGGAGAAAGAGGACCTCGTTGCAAGGTCATATGAATTGCTTCCATTTTGCCCCCAAAATTAATGGCGTTAACACCGATTGCTTGATGGGGTCCACCAGCTGGTTAACTGTAAATTCGCTGAACGCTGGTACTTCGATCTGTGTGCGACATGTAGCTAGTTTAGCGTTTTCATGACTTTCTCCATATTCAACGTGGATGTGAGGCAGTTTTCGTTAGAACGTCCTCCACGAAGGATCCCCTTTCCTAGGCAGATAGCTCTCGCATATTTTGCTATAAAAAAAAAACAAATCTACTGCTTTATAAGAGGAGAAAAGTCTGCTGTGTACAACGCTTTCACGAGCTAGTGCTTGACCATTTTGCTAATGTCTTTTGTCATTTGTTGAATCTTCAGTGTATGTGTGTACACTGATTTTTGGGAAAATGGATTTCGATATTTTTCAAAACATCTGAAATCAGATGAAATAGTTACACATTTCTTTCGTTTTTTATTGTTAAGATAAAAGCGGTGATCATTTGGATGATACTGATGTAAAATATTGAAAACGGCATAGGCACTAAAGGTAAGAAATATTTTTTTAATCCATCACAATATTCTCGGTGATACGCGACTAAAAATAAAATTGTGGGGAGTCCCTCTGAGAACTATATGTGCACGGTACCATAATTAAAAAAAATAGGTGTAATACTATAGAATGGCATATTCCAGAATAATTACATAAAAATCAATAAAATTAATGCTTATCAATTTTTTATTTAAACCGCATCGTTGTTAACAGTCTCGTACTTTTATTTTCAATAACATATGACCAAAAATATATTTTTTAAAAATTTGGTTGTTTACTTTTATATTTTGGTGCTTTGCACAAAAAACCTTTTGTAAGATTCTACCTTAAATAAGTATTGGCTGGTAGATGAAAACTAGATATATATAGGTTCGCAATCGCCAAAAAGTGTTCAACATGTCAGTTATTTTGCTATTACGTGTCCTTGGTGAAATATGAATCCCAATCATATTTTGGAAATGCGCCTAAATAATCGGCGCATGAAACTGATTCATACTTCTCCTTTTGGAGGAGAATTAGGTAAAGATTTGTTTTAAAAAAATAGCTTTTATTTTCTTGGTATGCTATGGCTTGCCTGGAGGAAGAAAAGGCTCGTATTTCAAATAAACTGTAAAAACGACCGTAGGGAGAGAAAAAAGATTTCGAACCTCTTCCCTCATCAACGAAAAAGCCCATGAGGATTCAAAAAAAGGTCTCAATTATATTCGCAATCCGTAACCGTAACATGTCAGTGAATCACGTGTCGAAGCTTGTTCGAAGCAATTCGCTAATGCACAGCGGAGGAGAGGACTCCAATCTTCCTTTCGGTCAACTAAATGGCCTCAGAATTGAGAAAAACTGCGGATCATTGGATGCTCCCTGAAAGAATCCAATATAAGAATAAATGCTTGCCAGCTAAAGTAACTGTTTTTTGTGATTTTTCAACCGTTTAATGGCGCAGGTTTGTTTACAGAAGTTCATTCGCTGCAGAACAAAAGTTAATTCTTAAATTTAGAAATGCCGCGGCACTATGAAATACCGTCATGTAACAAGAAATAAAAATTTATAAATAAATATAACGATAAATGAGGAATAATTAAATT